GAGGGCGAAGATGCTGATTCGAATGGGAATCCTCATCATCGACCTTCGAGGCGAAGAAGCGCGGGGCCGGCCAACGGGCGCGCGGTCCACGCTCGCTCCAGGCGCTCATCAGTCGCCTGCCGACGTGGGCCAGGCGTCCCAATGGACGAAAGCGGAGGAGGAGGAGGAAGGATATAGTGAAGAAGAGGGGGCCGAGGAGAGGGAGGGGGGGAAGAGGATGATGAGGGGGAGAAAGAGGAGGTAAATGAGGGGGGAGAGGGGCGCGGCGCCGGAAGGAAATTCGAAGACCCACTTTCAATAGGCAGAGCAGAGATCGGCAGGCATCCGCTGGCGCCACAAAAAAAAATAGGGGGAAGAGGGGGTGAACCCTATGAGCCCTATGAGCCTTATGATTCCTATGAGCCCTAGCCCTATGAGCCCTATGAACCCTATGAGCCCTATAAGCCTTATGAGCCCTATGAGCCCTATGAGCCCTATGAGCCCTATCAGCCCTATGAGACCTATGAGCCCTATGAGCCCTATGAGCCCTATGAGCCCTATGAGCCTTATGAGCCCTATGAGCCCTAGCCCTATGAGCCCTATGACCCCTATGAGCCCTATAAGCCTTATGAGCCCTATGAGCCCTATGAGCCCTATGAGCCCTATCAGCCCTATGAGACCTATGAGCCCTATGAGCCCTATGAGCCCTATGAGCCCTATGAGCCTTATGAGCCCTATGAGCCCTAGCTAGCCCTATGAGCCCTATGAACCCTATGAGCCCTATAAGCCTTATGAGCCCTATGAGCCCTCTGAGCCCTATGAGCCCTATGAGCCCTATGAGACCTATGAGCCCTATGAGCCCTATGAGCCCTATGAGCCCATGGGCGGACTGAGGGTTAAAGGAGGAGGGGGATTTTAAATCCCCGTGGTGGGCTCATCCGGCAATTCTGGGTTATGCCAGCCCGTCGGTTTTGAACCCCGTTGGAGGGCCCTCGCCTGGAAGGCGAGGTTGATGTCGTGCCCAGCCCCCCTTGATAGTGAGGAGCTTACGGGCGCAAGGTGGGCGGTGCTATGTTCAGGGGGTCCCATTTTTCGGGGCTGGGCCGCATCTTTTACTAGGCGCGTGTATTCTGTGCTCGCACGGACACGCTTTACAGTGCTACCAGTGCTACCAGGAGGAGGAGGAGGAGGAGGAGGAGGAGGGAGCGGAGCGTTGGAAAAGAAATGGTGTTCATGGTTCTGTCGACCCGCCCCTGGTAAGTTTAGACGCTGCCCGTGGCCCTGGACTTCCCTGGGGGTCCTCGGAGGTCCCTAGGGCCCACAAAAACGGGCTGATACCATTCGAAGCAAAGCGCAGCAAAAAAATACCTTCGATCTTCGAGAGATGGGGTCAAAACTTGTCACTCCCCAGCGGATGATCCGACACTCCCCAGCGGATGATCCGACTGAAGGACGGGAAGGACGATTAGCAGGACGAGGAGGAGGAGGAGGAGGAGGGGGAGGAGGAGGAGGAGTCGCACCCCTGGGAGGGCAGAGTCTTCGCAGACACACGCGCCGACACTTATTTCGAAGGAGGAGCTTTTGGGAAACGAACAGATGGCATCAAGGTCGAGGTGGAAGGAGGAGGAGGAGGAGGAGGAGGAGGAGGAGGAGGAGGGGAGGAGGAGGGGGAATCGAGGGTCGATCCTCGAGCTTGTGGGGCTTCCGGTGGGGTCCAGGGACCGCGCCCAGGGGTGGATGCAGGTGCTACGCCCGCGGGCGGATGCAACAAGCTGCAATCGATTTGAACCCCAAACAAAGAGGAGGGATTAGGCGGATCATCTGCTCGGGAGTTTCGTCGCATCGTGCAGGGCGAGGCGAAGGTGGTGGTTTCCCTGATGCGCCGCAAGCTGGCGGTCGCGCCGGCGGCGGCTGCGCGAAATTTCGAGCGACGGATCAGCGGGCCGTCGTTGAGTCGACACCGGCAACTGAGGAAGAACCTCAGCCCTCAACCCTGCAGACTACGGTGGGGGCGTTGGATAAGGAATGTGCCGGGGAGGCCTCAGACCCTGGGGGATTCCTTATCCGATGAGGGCTGCGGGGATGCCCACGGCCGATCCACAACGGGAGCTCCGCCAGCTTCCAGACTCTGGATTCTTTATCAAATGATTCCTTATCCAATGCCCTCGCCGTACCTCTCGGGCCGGGCGAAAGGGGGGGATTGGGAAAGGGGGGGTTACGAAATTTGCTGCATGCAGCTGGTTTCGGCCTCACCGAGGGGCCCATTCCTCGATACATAGCCGCCTCCGGCGCCGGGAGGCGCCGGGAAAATCAGCTACGTGAGCTGATTCTCAAACCCCCCCTTTGCTATCCCCCCCTTTCGCCCGACCCGAACCTCAGCGGCGGCCCGCAATCCCCCGATTCAGCGCTCGAAATTTCCGTTGGCAGGCCGAGCGCGAGGACGGGGCCTTGTCGCCTATCAGCCCCGCCTCCGAGATGCCTATCAGCCCCGCCTCCGAGATCACCGACTCTGGCGCCCAGCCCTCCGCCCAGCCAGAGGGGGCGAAAAACGGCTCGACCACGGAAAGGTTTGGGTAAATGGGGTCGGGGGGTCGCGTTGCGTCGCGCGCGATCTCAGGCGCGGCCTCGCTATCTCGATGCCCCTGGCGTGCGCGTCAGGAGCTTCCCCCCACAAGTGTCTTCCATGATTGTCCAAAAGAGTTTTCTTGGGCATCGTTCCTGCGATGGTCGGTACAAAAGCACGCAACATACGACGCAGGTCCCTGTTGAGAAACCCGTATACGCATCGCAAAGAACCCAGCTGCACGCCTCCTGAAAACGGGCTCCAGGAGCTTTAGGATTCCCCCGGAATCTCCCCCACAAACTTTGCAAGGGACCCCGGGGGGGAAATCCCATCGCACAACTTGGCGAGTCTTGGTTTCGAAGCCTTCTGGACACAGCGGGATCTCCAATTCGCTTCGGTGTTCGGCCTTGGGGCCCGCTGGGGCCGTCTCAAGAAATCATGCGGACCGCGCCTGAGAACGCGACGCTGCGCCCGAGAACGCGTGCGACGCGGCGCGAATCCTGGGCCCACTTTAACCCACAGAGGAAGTTGAGTCGTGAGGTGCAGGCCAGATCTGACGCCTTCCGCTCAGGGGCGCACGCAGTGCATCTGTCCACCTGTGCTAGCGTGCCGTCTAGCGCAAGGCTTCTGACCAGCCCTCCCTCTTTGCGCCCTCCCTTCTGCCGCCCGTCGTCGTCGTTGTCTTCGTCGTCGTGTCCGCCGTCGTCATCGTATTTGCGGGCCTCCCCCCCCCGCCCCTGTCTCCTCCCTGGCGGCCCGCGCGTCCAGCCGGCCGATCTCTGTGGTCGGGAGCCGGTGCGATTCTCAAACGAGGCGGTTGCACTCATCCTCCCCTCCCTCTTCCTTCTCCTCCAACTCCACCTCCCCCTCCCCCGCCCCCCGAGCGCGCCGCTGCGCAGCGGGGTCTCGCCGCGTGGCGCAAAGGAGGTCCCAAGGAGGGTTCGGGACGAAAGTGAGGGGGCTCGCCGAGAACGACGGGGCTAGACGAAAACGACAAGGGATGGACGAAAATAAGGGGCTCGCCGGAAACGCGACGGGGCTGAACGAAAACGATTGGAAACGGCGAGAACGGTAGGGCGATTGGAAGCGAAAGCGACGGTGCTAGACGAAACCGAAAGGGCTCCCGCTCGGCCGAGACAGTCAGCCTGGCGGGGCCGCCGGGCTGGTTGTGTCGGCCAAGCCTGCATGCATCGATTTCTGTTTCTCTGTATCTCTGCCTCTCTGTCAGCGCGGCGCCAGTCCATTCTGCCGCCTTGCCCGGCCAGCTTGGTGTTCCTTAGGGGGGCCCTCTGGAGAAGGCAATATCCACGCCACGGACAGAGCAGGGTGCATCGTTCACTCGATCCGCTGCTCGAGCCTAACGGCCGCTTCGGCGCCAGGGTGGGTCAGCAAGCCCTAGTTTCGGCATTTCCACCCCTAAGTGAGCAGCGGGCCGCCGCAGCGTGCTGCGCGGCTCGGGACACTCCATCTCTCTCTCTCTCTCTCTTTCTCTCTCTCTCTCTCTCTTTCTCTCCACTCTCTCTCTCTCTCTGTCTCTCGATTCCTGGCTTTGGTTGGCCTGAGCGCGACCACTGGGCCAAAGGGAGGAGAGAGAGAGAGAGAGAGAGAAAGAGAGAGAGAGAGAAACAAAAAAACAAGAGAGGGAGAGAGATAACACAACAAACCAACGGAGAGAACGAGGAAGAGAGAGAGAGAGAGAGCGATAGAGAGAGAGAGAGGTCGGGCGAACACTATCGTGAACACGTAATTTGACGACGCGGAAACAGTTGGGCGTCGTAAACCCACAGCGGCCGCCCGAAAACACTTAGCATCAGTTAACACAAATTAAAGCCAGTTGTGATCAGTTGCCCCGACAGCGAACCTTCGGGATCAGTGAATTTGCGCGCTGATGCCACATAACATGAGAACATCTATAACTCAGTTATAAATGAGTTAGCTAAGTGTGCGTAACTCAATTCATAACTGAGTTATGAATCCACAACTCTCCTGTTCCACAAAGTACGGAAGACCAGGACGCGGGTAGCCTCCGTGCTCGACCAGTGGACGAGCGGGGGGGACAAATGACACCCGTACGGCAAGATACCCTGGACAGCTTCACATGGGGCCCTGGTGGGGAGGCGCGCGATGTGAGGCCACGATGGGTCACCGATTCTAAGGGCCCGCATCACTCACCGAATGTTGGAATCATTGCGCAGAACCTGTACACTCGAGTTGTCTAAGGAACGAGCTCGATCATTGACCTTCCTGGACTGCCTGAGTCAAGGGGCTTCAGCCATATCCGCCGCAAACGGAACTGGTCCTCCTGGGCCTCCGGAGGCCGCGGATACGGGCACATGTGGCCCCCTGGGGACCCAGACGTAGCACAGCATACACTCATATGCAGGCACGAGCGTGGACCCGTGGATGAAATCCATGGGGCTGCGCGAATCGAGGTTCGATGGCCTGCCGTCGTTCCTTTGAAGCTTGTTCAAGCGTTCTTCGAGTGCAAGCGCCCGACTCACTGCTGCGGGGCCCGAGGTGGTCGATCTTCGCGAAACCACAGTCCAGGCCGGAGCAGCGTTGGAAGATTCGCGCCGGAGTCGCGGCGGACGCGGGAGCGGGCCGGGCAAACGAGGCTCCATCTCGGGCCGCGTCGGAGGTGTCGGAACGGCGTCGCGGCAAAATCAAGATCGCAGCGGGGCAGCGGTTTTAGAACGTCCTTACTCGCCGCCGCTCCCGCGGAGCGACAAGGCGTCGTCGTCCCCGTCGACGTCGACTCACAGAGGACAGGTATCCAGGGCGACGGTAGCGAAACACATTGTTTAATTGCGTCCGAGAGGGGCCTCTCGCCTCTCGTCCGCCCCTTTCTCGTGGAGGCAGTTTTTTTAAGCCTCTCGGGAGCCGTTTTGGAACCTCCAGGGTGCTCTTGTAGGCCTCGTGGGGGCCACTCGGACTTGTTTGGGCCGTGTAGTCCGCGTCTTGGAGTATCTTGGAACCGTCTTGGGCCATTTTGGGCGCATCTTGGGCCACCCTGGGACAATCTTGACTTGTCTTGGGCTGGCGTGTGCGCGAACCCGAAAGAGGAGAGCGAGTTGGCGACGAACACCGGAACAACGGAGAACCCGTTTTAGCGGGGGGTTGTGGTATACGCCAGCACTCTTCTCTAGACACACATCTATACATCAATGTGTATGTGTATATGTATGCATGTATGCATGCATGCATGTATGCATGCATGTATGTATGTATGTATGTATGTGTATCAGCGTATACATCATTATATCTCGATGCACATATACATATACATATATGCATGTGTATACGTACACAAAGTACATCTATGCGAAGCATGCGCATATCCATGCCAATCTCCACCTTTTTCCTGGGGGGCCAAGGGAATCGGGACCCCAGGAGTGGATATGTACAATCCGCAGCCCCGCACTGGAGGCCGCCGTCTCCCACACCCGCCCTCTTCACGTGCCAGTCTTACCCTTGCGGTTCCTGCCTCCCGAGGCTCCCTCGTCGTTGTCTCCTCCTCGCCCGCCGCCAGAATCCTCGTTCGATGTTCCCCACAGAGCTGGAACAGCCAGGAAGCCCAAGTCCGCCGCAGATAGGTTGACAATCCGCTGCGGACGTTCGGCCAAGCGCCGCCAGAGTAGCCAGCGAATCGTGAACCCCTCCGAAGCTCGATGCCCTGGGCCTTCTGCATCCAATCCCATCCTCCTTTCCTCCTTTTCATCCTTCTCCTCCTCCTCCTCCTCCTCCTCCTCCTCCTCCTACTCCTCCTCCTGCTGGGCTGCGGGCGTGCCGGCGATTCCATTGTGCACTGCGCCCGCAGCCCGGATTACCACGGGTTTTGCCGTGGCCATCTTCGATTGGACCAGCCGCCACACGACCTTGTGCTGGACGCGTTCCTCTTTCTCCGACCTGTGGCGCAACGCTTCCCCATCGACGCGCCTCCTGAGGGCGGCCCCCAAGCTTCCTCCCTCCGTGCCTTGAGTGTTTATGCGCGCGCTTGACCGCACGCGCAGCTCGTTGAGAGAGTCGCTCCCACGGCAGGCCCCGCCTTCTGAGCTTTTTCGTGGTGTTCTTCGCGAAGGCGCAGGGGGCCACGCTCCAACGATGGCACCCCTGAGCGCGGTGTACAAGCGCCAGCGCTCCGAGTAGCCCGCAGCCAGATGGGAGCCATCTGTACCAGTGGCCGATGGCTTTTGTAATAGGTAGACCCTCTGTTGGGGATGTGCCAATTCTATCGGCCACGCGGCCGGGACACGATTTTTGCTCACAAGCTCAGGCTTGCTGTCGTTTCGTTGCGTGCTCAGCCGCCGAGTTGCGGTCACGTTCGTGGGACAAGTTTGTCCAGGGAGCGGGTTTCAAAAGTTCCAGTGGTCGCGAGTGGTGGTCTCTGGGCTTTTACATATGTTTAGAGGTTGCCGTGCTCACCGTTGACTCCAGGACCCTGTGGCTGGCATGCAGCAGACGCCAGCCACCATGTGGTGCTCGGGGCGGTCTTGTCGGCTCTCCTCCTTCCCCTCCTTCTTTGCGCATTGGCGAGTTTGTCCAATGCGGTCTCAGGGCACTTGGTGCGTCTCCCCTCCCCGCTGTCTTGTCGGTGAGGCTTCCTGGCGCGCGCCGCTAGAACATTTGATATAGTGTCCCCTGTCCTCCCCTGCCCTTCTCTGCACCCCTGTTTGCGGGAAACGAGCCGCACTTCGTTGGGGGAGTGTTCTTCTAAGCTGTTGCGGGAAGTTTGCTCGTAGTGTTGGTTCCGTCTGTGTTGTTTTCCTTCGTCCCTCTCTCCTGGTGGCCTTCCTCCCCCTCCTCCTTCCTCCTCTCTGCACCTCTTTCGGCGAGAGATGAGCCGCACTTTGTTTGGAGAGTGCTCTCATTAGCAGAGGCGGAAGCTTGCTCCAGGTGTTGGTTCCGTCTGGTGCAGGTGTCCTCCCTCCCTGCCTCCTGCTGCCCCTCCTAGTCCTCGTCCTCCTGCATTTTTTTTTTTCTCGCCGGCGTTTCTCTTACTTCTGGGACGTTGCTGTACATGCAGCCACTGGCCAGTCTCCACCACGTACCGGCACGGAGTGCACGCGTTACACAAGAGGTGTTGCAGAGGTCCCCTCCCTCATGCCCTCCTTCTCCTCCGTACAAGCTTTTCTTCTCCTCCTCCTCCTCTTCCTGCAGCGCTGCCCTGTACGTTGCTGCGGCCCTACTGCAATCGGCGCGAGTCAAGTCGTGGAAGCTGTCCCGCGGCTGTCGTCAAGGAGAGTGTTCTGCTGTTTGCGCCCGCCCCCCGTCTGGGCTCCATCGCACCCCCCGCTGCCAGGCCGGGGCTCTCCGGCGTGGCAGGCCCAGGCTCTCTCCCCCCCCTTGGGGGCGTTGCTGTCGGGAATGGCTTGGGAGCGCGGGGTCGGCGCCGAGGTCGACGGGAGCTCCCGAGACGGAGAGGGATGTGGAGGTCCAGGGTCGATGGGTGGGCGGAGGCCGACACAGAGTCGGGCCGGACGAAAGGGGGGGATTGGGAAAGGGGGGGTTACGAAATTTGCTGCAGAAGTCGAGCAGACCACAGAGGTCTGGATAGAAGAGCGGCAGAGGTCGAGGCAGATGCAGAGGTCGAGGCAGATGCAGAGCTCGCCACTGAGGTTGACTGGAGGCTGAGATCGGTCGAGGTCGAGGCCGATGTGGCGGTAGAGGTCGAGGTGGAGGTCAAGATTGAGGTTGAGTTGGGGGTCGAGGTACAGATAACGGTCGAGGAGGAGGCAGTGGTAGAATTGCAGGTCGAGATGGAGGCAGATGCAGATGCAAGAGCGAGGCTAAAGCTAGAGGAGCAGTCACCCTGAACTTGTGTTGGTCCCTTGTGCTCCTTGGCGGCTAGATCTACGTCAGACATGATACACATCTCGGGACACACATGTGTATATATATAATACTTATGTATGTGTATACATATACACTTGTGTACGATGGATAAGCGAGAGCACCGACCCTAGCAACGAAGGTCCAGCCCATAGCAGCAAGGAAAGCATCAGCCGAGCTCAGCTATGACAGGTTGCACACCGTGTTCACCACTCTGCCGCTTGCAGACACGGTGACTTCAGTTATTTCCCTCTCGCTGTTTTTTTGCGCCAATATGCCACGACCGTCGATGTGCACAAGGCCGAGGGAGGAGGAGGAGGAGGAGGAGCAGGAGGAGGAGGAGAAGAAGAATAATCATCTGAAAAAGGAGAGGGGGAGGGAGGAGGAGGAGGAGGAGGAGGAGGGAGGAGGAGGAGGAGGAGGAGGAGGAGGAGGAGGAGCGGGGGAGGGAGGGGGAAGGGAGGAGAAGCAAGCCAGGGGAGGCAAGCCCGGATGCGTCCGCGCCAAATCTGACACCCGGCCCCTCCCATCCATCGCTTCCCATGGTGTTGAATTGAATGTCCTCGATCCGCCGACGCGCACCACAGGGGGAGCTGAAGTTTCAACAAGGACCCCATCGTGTCGTGCGCAGTCGTCCTCCTCCTCGTCCTCCTCCTCCTCCTCCCTCCTCCTCCTCCTCCTCCTCCTCCTCATCCTCCTCATCCTCCTCCTCGTCCTCCTCCTCCTCACAAGGGGAGCTGCGCAGACTGCAGGAGGAGATGGCAGACGAGCAGGACAATGAGCGAGCAGGATCACCAGCACGATGACTACGTACGAAGCAAAATCTGACCCTCAGAGCGCGCACACCGATCACCATGACGGCATCCAGGAGCCGTCATAACAGCATTGCGAAGCAGTTGCGCAAAGGGCGAACATACATTCGTGATAGAATGTTTGAGTATTCCGTTCCATCGAACAGGGAAGCTCTACGCAGAGTGGTTTGATACCACAAACATTAGCTGCGAACTCCACCGTTATTGCATGCAGGAGGCCCGCACCAAACGTACAGACTTATCTTGCGAACAACCCGTGCGCCGTCGGGACCCTCGAAACGCAGACGACAACACATGGCAGCGAATTCCACCATGATTGCATGGAGAAGCCCAGCACCTAACTCAAACAAATAACGATGATGTGAGTAGCCCCTGCGCTCTCAGGTTCCTCGAACCGCAAGCCACCAAGAAACCGATGTCCAAACAATCCAGCCCACCACAAGGATGACGTAGGATCGATTGCGGGCGGTTGGGTTAATGCACAACCAGGCTCCCCCGCATGGCCTCCGCACCCGAGACGGACAACGAGGAAGATGCACTGCTTGGATCGCCGCGGTGGTTGCTATGGGGATGGGGGGGCTAGAAAGGAATGCAAACGTGGGTTTGTATCTGGCCTAACCCCCCTTAGAAGTGGGTTACATATGCCATATGTGGCTTGGGATGGTGAGGTAAGTCCGCTAAGTGGACTCCGCCCACTTAGCCCAGATCTGTACGCCCTTAAGACACGTGGGGCACGTGCAACCCACTTCAAAGCTGGGTTAGGCTGGATAGAGCCCACCTTCGCATCCACTTGTATCCCCCTATCCTCTTAGCAACC